AGTGCTTAATCATTAAATAAAGACTTGCTGCGTTAGGTACTGCGAAAACACACTTGAAATTAAATGAGTAACTTCTCTAAATTTACAGTCTCAAAAAAAAAAAAAAAAAAAAAGATAGAGCACATGTTCTGTTTCCTCCTCCAAAATCTGCAATGGGATAAAAGATAAATCATAATTAAGGCTCATTGAGCAGCGGGAGGAAGAAGAGAAATTTAAAGGATAATAGGAGGAAAAAGATTTGTCTTTAATACTCCTCTTGATCAGTAGAAAAATCTCTCTCCTGCTCTCCATCCACACTGTTTTTGCTCACAGATTAACACCTGTTTCCCAAATCCAGATTTGGAGATTCTCAGTTTGAAAATGGTCATTGCAAAATACAATTCATAGCTCCCTATGTCCTACAGACATAACTGCGCAGTCAGGCGCTGGTCCACAGCAAGAGTCACTCAAGAGCAAGACAAAGCTCCCGTGCAACCTCCCTCCATTGATCCGAGTCCAACAATAAATAAATCCCCTCTGTGTGAAGGGTCACCGGTGACACCGGAGAGTTTGTAACTTTGACCACCTATTAGAATTCCWGAGGCTTTCTAACCAGCATGGAAAAAACCTGTGGTGCTGCCCCTGCTACCAGGAAAATGAATCTCGTCACTGCTGTGTGCACCTCAGTTAACAGATCAATCAACAAGAACTGCTCATGCTACCCGAGTCTGCTTGGCAACTGCTTTTCAAGAGAGTTAGCTCACGCTTAAAATGATAATTCATGTTACACTGCCTAACATTTTAGCCTATGTATTTGAAGTGATACGTTTAGAGATGTAATAATTTAGACCTGTTTCTACTTAATCAGCTACATGACAAACTACAGGACAAGGTTTACTCCAGCTACTGGTGAGTGTAAGCAATGGAAAGAATTAAAGGCTATAACCTCAGCCCAGGAGTCGGGGGAATGCAAAGCATTACAGACATCTCTAGCAAAGCAAGAAAGATATAATAACCATAAATACATTATTAAGTTCAATTTCGCTTGATATCARTGTTCCTGCAAATTCCCTGACTTGCAAATTTACCAATGCATTAAGAGTAAAACCCAGGCTTTACTTCTAAACTACTCCTTTATCCCTTTACTTGAAAATGGATGAGAAAGAAGCAAGTTCATGCATGCTCGTATAAGACAGGTCATACGTCATCTGGTATCATGACTATATAAAGTACTGCACAAAATGAGTGCTTTTATATTTACACAATTTCTTAAAAACACATAGAATCTTTACATGCTAATTACAAAGGATAAATGCTCCTGCTCCAAAATACTAACTCCTTATAAAGAACAGACTGTTATCTCCATCCCTCTGCATTTGAAACCTTGAAACATAAATAAACAAACATACAAAAGACCACCCGGGAAGTGCCAAAGCTCCTGATATCATTGATACCAGCGGGAGATTTTGCCAGCRGCTGGCATAGGTATCACAGTAATGTATTACAGCTACTTATGAACACAAAAATTGTGGAAATATTTTTTCTACTTCTTAAAAACAAGAATCTTGGCCCATACCTCATTACAGGCACTGCATGTGAGCAGGTCATGCGGCATGTTCAGCATGCAACCGTAATGGAACGTATTCCGAATGCAGAAAAGGTCTTAATTAAAATACCAAGTATTGGGRCAACAACAAGAGACATATATAAAGGTAGCAACTGCTCTGATAAAACAATTTGCAAACAGGTTGGAAAAACAGAAAACCAAATGTTATTTGTACCTAGAAACAAAGTTACTAAGCTCAAATTCTAGAAGAAGTTGCCCAACCTTTCACATTAACAGGAGAAATATGAACAGGAAAAAATACAAGCAGGTATCTTCAGAAACAGCTGAGTAAGATATTAATACTAAATTACTGAAATAAAGTGCATAAATTCTCTTTATCCGTTCCACTGTGAAGTTAACCAGCTTAATTCACAGATTACAGATCAAGAGGCAAGGAAAACAGAAGTGTCCTCTCAACTAGATCTACCTGTGCACCTACTGAGGTTAGAGTATTTTTTGCCTCTACTGACAAAAAAGGCCAGGCTGGTTGGTTTGTTTTTGAGGCGGGGGAGAAGGGAGGTAGGAGGGACGGGTTTTAGTCATGGGTCTTGGCTCCTAACGTGGGAGACTGAGCTCAGTCACTATCATAGCGCTCAGAGCAATGAGAAATCCTAATGTGGACGAAAGTACCCGCTTTGCACAAAAAAGTAGGCAGAATCATACCTGAAAAACCCACGTAAACAAGACGAAAATGCAGCTAATGAGGAAGCAGGAACTTCAGGTTTGCATTGCAAGTAAAGGCTGCTGCCTCCAACAGCACTTACGCTTTCATTTTTAGAACTGAAAGCAGGTAAAGACACAACAGAGGAACACACAGTCCAGCCACGCAAACAGCAGGAATAGACACTGTTTAAACAGACCAAGGGTACTAGGTGTCCTTTCCTTTACAACAATGTCATTTTAGATTCCACAATTAAAAGATATGACACACCACACAGAGAACAAAGCCAGTATTCTCGGAGATAATTATAGACTTCACCTCCAAAATAATTTGAGCATGAGCCATAACACTTCAAGACTTAAGTCTTTCCTGCTGCAATCACACAGGATATTACTTGTTCTTCCTTCCATGGCCACAAGAGAACGCACGCTCACATTTTTTCTTGCCTAAAAGGTTCCCACAGGCCAAAAGCATCCCTCTGAGCTTCATTTCTTCCGAACTTAAATTCATTTTCTTCAAATTTCGTCGTGCATCAGCATCGTTGCTCTCTCTATGCACTTGGATTTGTCTATCTTTAAGTGTAATATGAAAACCAAATTCTATCTAACTGCCCACCAGTGCTAAGTAGCTCAGAACGACTGCATCCTGTATGTTAAATAAAACATTTCTGTGTTTATATTAAGGTCTGCTGCCTCACCAGCTACATGCTGGTTTGTATTTGATGTACTTGTTTTCTTTTTCTTTGGTCAAGAATTACACACTAAAATTTATTCTTGCTGGTTTTGACTATTTCTCCAGATCAGAGATAAGGAAGAGAATACACACCCTGTCTTGGAAAAACACCTGTAAGATCCTGTACAAACMCATCCTCCTCTTTTCTGTCATAGYCTATTCAAAAACTTTGTTTCAAAATTGATTAACCATTGAATATATTTCTCAATAAGTTTTGTATTCATTTAGAAAGTACTTCTCCTGTTAATGCTCTCCCTTACTTGTAATAAATGTTACCAGCATAGCAATTTCAGCATATTGCTGAAAAAAAATAATAATTTGAGGGATAATACTAATACTAATACTACTACTGCTAATAATAATAATTTGACAGGGATGCACCACAAGCTGTTAATTCACCGAGTTATCAACTACGGTCAGTGAGGGCTGAATCAGGAAGAAAATCCTAATCTGAAAAAGCCACATTGCCCTAAAATCAACATCATTTTTACACATATTGGTGAAACAAATCTTAATTTCACTCTGTTGGGCAGAATTTTTCATTTTATTGCAAAATACTCTGATTTCTCTACAGACAAGCCTGAAGATACTCTCTACACAACATTTTGTAGGAAGAKGAGGAGGAAAGGAGAGAAGGAAGAACAACACAAAACAATAATATAGGAAGAATATTTAACAATGATAAATACTCTGGCTTCTTCAGCTTCATACCAAGAAAAAAACCCAGCTATTACTTTAAAAGCTACCCAAAGCATAACTGTTAAAAACATATTAATCGCTAAAACAAAAAGCATATTTTAATAGACCTTAAAAAACTGAAAACGTGTTATGCCGAGCGAATGAACAAACAACATACATTAGGATTTATTCATTACTGATATTGACCTAATCTAGGCAAAACCCAAGAGATCTGTACAGYTTTTTAAATTTAAAACAAAACAAGCTTTAGGACAGCAGACATAGSTCCTCCGAGCTGCTTTGGGACCAGTTTCTGACTACAGTGAGGCACTTGAGAAGTTGAGTCTGGGAATGCAAGAACATTATCGTGTTCATCCACAATAGTGACCGAACATTATGGGAAGTCAAAGACATAAAACCTGCAAATTCAAGCAGCAGATCAGGATGATACTTGGTTTCCCAAACGGAAAAAAAAAGGACAAAAAAAGCCACCAGAAGCTCAGCCAGGAGGAGGTCTCTGACAGCCACCCTGTCGCTCGCACCATCCAAATCCTGGGCACATAATCAAAGAAAAAACACATTTTTCAATGCCCTGCCCCAAATCTGATCTTGAGCTGCCCATTCAAGTTCAAATATGTTTTAAAGTCAGTCTCTGTAGCTTGAATATCACTGCATCTATGGAAGATGAGGGGGGGAAAATAAACAAATGGAAATAAGTGGTGGTCATCCAACAAATGGGGTTACTGAACRGAGGAGAACATTTCAAGCAGGGAACACGAACAGGGTGTCGGTGCACACAGTAAATCCGGGCTTAGAAGAGCTAATGCCGTGGCAGCTGGCAGTTCCTTGGCGTCCCTAAAACAGGGCGGCACCTTTCACAAAGACACATACACGTTAAAAAGGYCTCTTTTAAGCTATCATTCCCCCATTCCAGGAGGAAATCACTCCCCCATTCCAGGAGGAAATCACTCCCCCATTCCAGGAGGAAATCACTCCCCCATTCCAGGAGGAAATCACTCCCCCATTCCAGGAGGAAATAACGACCAGGTCCTGCACCAGAGTAATGAGCGGCCAGGAAAGCTCCTTGTCAGACTCCACCGGCTTTCCCGAGGGATGGGAACCCCCTTTTATCCCTCCCTTTCCCGCCAGGCGCCCAGGGAGCCATTCCCAGCCAGCAGGCCAGTGAGCGGGGCCGGGAGAGGCCGCGGGCGGGCACCAGGAGCGCCGAGCTCCGCGGCGTCACGCCGCTGCCCGCCGGGCCTGCAGGGCGCCCCGCTGGGAGCCGCTGCCGCCCGATGCTCCGCGGGAACCCCGGAGCGGCTCCCGGCCGCCCCTCAGCGCCCCGCGCCCCTCGCGGCCGCCGGGCCCGCGCTCACTTGAGGTGATCCAAGGAGTGGATGCTGCGCGCGGCCTTGCCGTGCCCGCCGCCCACCCAGCTGCGGGAGCGCCCGAACATGGTGGCGACGGCGGAGGGAGGGAGGGAGGCGGCGCGGCCCTAGGGCGCCATGGCGGCGCGGGACGCGGAGCAGGAAGCGCGCGGCCCCGCAGCCAGCGGCCGCCGCCGAGCCCGCAGCAGCCGAGCCCAGCGGCCGGCACGCGCCACGGCGCATGCGCCGGCAGGGCACGCCGGGAAGCGGAGTCCCGCCGCGCCGCCGCCCTCCCCGCGGAGCCTGGGCGCAGACTACAAGTCCCAGCGTGCCGCGCGCGGCCGCAAGGGGCGGGCGCTCGGGAGGGGGTCCCGGTTGTGCCGGGGCTGCCCGGGCACCGCAGCCGTGCCCGTGGGCGGCGCGGCCGAGGGGCGGCGCTGCGCACCGGGCCCTGGCGCCCGGCCGCCGCCGCGGGTCACCCCCCCAAGCGCCACTCTGAGCGCAGCGGCAGCCGCGGAACTCGCAGGCCCGGGGAGGGGGTTGAGTCTGTTTAAGCCTGGTTTTAACTTACGCCGCCCCTCTGGTCTGGAGCTTGTGATTTGGGTCCTGTCAAGGCAGATTCAGTTTTAGCCTGCGCTAAGGGCAGCGCTGTGACGCGCTGCTTTCAAACGCGCGGTACCGCGGGCTCAAACGCCGGCCCCGGCCGTGCTCGCCCCGCTCCCGCGCTAGGGAGGAGCGGGGCCGGCGGGGGGCGGCCC